TTGAATTATTCACTACAAATTTTAAGTCGTCGCTATTTAACACCTTACATATTTTGTTACAAGTTTTTTGTTGTCACTAAATCACAAATTGATTAGAGAGAATAAAATCTTTGTCACCAATTATTTATACTATTAGTGACGAAAATAAATATCATAATTAAAGCTAAATTCTTATAGCTAAAACTTATAATATTTAACTACGAACTCTAATTTGTCAATACTGTAACAATATATTTTTTTAGATGAAATATTTTTCATGAATTAGATACATTATTAGTGATGAAATAACATGTCACCGATAACTTTCAATTCGTGACTAACACTACTTAACAAACGGCGCAAATTAATTTTTTGGTGGGAAACTTCAGTAGACGAAACTTTGCTACAAATTTTTATGTTTCGTCACTAAAAGTATGTGTTTCAAATATTTAAGCACGAAAAGTAAATTTTGTCATTAAAAGCGAATAATTAGTGGCGAATTTGATGTCGTAGCTAATAATTTCGTAGCTATATATCATATTTGTTGTAGTATAATGTGAAGCAAAACCAAGTCGTATAGTACTACTGCATTTACCATTTCTTCTTTTTATGATAATTGTCCTACTATATTAAATTATTAATATCCTTGTCGACACAACTTTCTTTCATTTACACTATCCCTTTCGTTTTCGTTTTAATTTATGTGATTGTAGTTAAATTATTGAAGATAGTATTTTAAAAAGAAATTTATAATCTAAAATGAGTGATACATATCTTTTTTTGTTTTTCGATCTGATTTTCGAAGCCCACATTGGAATCCCAACAAAATTTGGATTACGCACTGCGGACACATTTGGAGAGACCAATTGAATCTGAATCGCACGCTACATGGTCTATTTGAGGGTGACACTCCCCAATATAATTTTCTCCATACACATGACTCAAACTCAAGAATGTGTAATCAAGTTAAAGTTAAAGTGATCATTGGATTCCTTAGCCAAATTATCTATGGAATTTAAAGAAAGAAGCTAAGAAAATTCGGCCATAATTACTTTTATATAAAACACCACATTGATTATGTTATTGCCTAGAATGATTATTAATTAAAAAAACACATTTTTTCTTATTAGGAGTGATTATTTTTTCAAGGAATGTGTCAAAAACTAAAAC